AAAAAAAACTCGATGGTTTGGGCCGAACAACCCGCAACCCCGACCTGTTGTAACCCGCAATCCGATCAACCCAAACCCGATTGATCCGCAACCCGATCAACCCGTAACCCGACTGATCCGCAACCCGATCAACCTGAACCCGATTTTCCTACAACCCGATCAACCCGCAACCCGATTGAACCCGACCCGAACCCGCCCAATTGACACCTATACTTAGTACTAGCTTTGACCCGGCCCGTTGGCCGAATTACTTTAAATTACTAATTATAGAATGGGGAAGAGAGCTAGAGCAGGAAAAATATTTATTTGGGTCGAACCCACAATTTGAATATATTTGAGTCCATATAATTATACTTATAAAGAAATATCGACCATCTAGCTATTCGCATTAAACCAATTCACATCTTCATTATCGGTGTGTCAATATAATAGGTCTAATTTAGACTCAAACTAAATAGTCGTTTATTGGTAATGACCTTCAAGTGATATTACCAAATATAATTGACTGGTAATAAATTGAGTTTGTGAAGGATGTTTTTATTTTGCAATTCATAGTGGAGGGAATTTTTTAGGCCACTTTTGGCATTAATTGTTCATTCACCACCACATCCAACGCTAAGGTATCACTTTCCCATAAGAATTTTTAATTTACTGCGAAATGAGATGATCTAAATTCCTTCAGTTTTGGATTTTAAAATAGTAAATTTATAATCACTTATTTACATAGTTTCCATCTCCTGCTTTTAAATATGTGGATTTAAAGTGTCTTTATCTAAATTTCATAGCAAAATATAAACCTGTAAACATTGGCAGAGGTGAGTGAACAACTAAAGATCATAATGATTGTAGCTTTAGTAGTACGGATGTATATTTGAGCTCATAAATCAATTAACAACATCTCATCTTTCATTGAAAACTAAGTGAAATTTAGGGAGTCATTCATTGTTATATAAAAGTATTTGAGTAAAATATGTTTGGAAACTGAAATTACATGCATTAGTGAATAATAGAGTTCTTAATTTTTATATATATATATATATATATATATATATAAATAGAGGAGTATATTATACCTATAATCCATTAAAAAATATACAACAAATTTGTTCAATCTAATTTGTTATGACCAAGGTTGTCAATCGATTCCACCAATGATTCGTTTAAGCAAGTGGGTTAAGGATTAATGGATGAATTGGATTAACCTGGTTAAGCCTAGCTTTACCCAGGTGCATGGAAATTTTATTGATTTTACAAGTATTATGCTTAGATATTTATGAAATTTCTATGATAAATTTAGATACAATGACGATTTAGTATAACTTATTCGTTGGAATTGAGTTTCATTTTTATACATTTCTCTCACTTGGAACTGATGCTTTAAAATGACACTTTAATTCTAAATCTCTTCCCTCTTTCTTTTTATCTTTTTCCATTTCATTTTCAAGTTTTTTCTTTTCTTCTTTTCATTGCATATCATATTCCATTCTCAATGTTCTTACTCTTCTTCTCCAATTCAATTTCATGTATATATACAAATGAGGACATTGGTCTTTGTTAATAACACCAATTCGATTTCATGTATATATACAAATGAGGACATTGGTCTTTGTTAATAACACCAAGTCTCAATCCAAATGTATGTTCGTCTAATCTTGTGGCTTATTCTTTGTTTGAGATATGGTTGATTGGCAATGTGATCTTGCTGCTGGAAGGAAAATGGAATTGACTACTAAAGGAGGAAAAGATATTATGGGATAACCGAACACGGGTGGTTGATGTATGTTGTTCCATGGGTTTTTGATAAGGAAAAGGATGACATGTCAACAGAGCTAGTGATTAGATTTGTTGAAAATGATGTTGGTTTGAAGTGACTCCATGCTTAGATGAGTTAGTTAAATCAACTCGATTTCCTAATTCAACTGGTTTTCTTAGTTTGACCAAGTTTGGTTGATAACCAACTGGGCCTCCAACATCCTAACAAATACTCGGGTTTGGGCAAAACTGATTCGCCCAACCATGTCAAACTTGGGTTGACAATCAGGCTTATGATTCTTGTCTTTTTTGGAAGATACATTGGTTCAAATTCCAATACTTGTTTATTTTCTACAAATAAATAAGTTTAATAATTGTGAAGGCAAATATACCATTCATACTTTCGCTCTCGTTGTAGGAATTTGAAATGGGAAAATACTTTTCTCATCCCAGTCTTATATATTGGATTTTGTTGAGACGTAGACATATGTCATTGCCCTAGAAATTCATTAACATGTCAAAAAATGGTGAAATGGACCAACAATTAAGCTCAATCTCGTACAATGATAATTGGATCTAATCATGCCATATTTGGAACATGTTGAAAGCTTAGCAGTTAACCCGACTAAAATGTTAAAAAGACCAGTCTCGTATAGTCTGCATAAGGATATGATTTCTTCATAGTTAATTCTAAAAATCAATACTAATTTAAAATTTGGACATTGCTTCGACCTATTTAATATTCTAATTTTATATGCAATGTTCAACCAAGTGATATATGGGTTGCAATTTTAAAGTTATCCTCTGTTCATAATATACATTGAAATATAAATTAAGTATTAAAAGATAATTAAAATAATAAAAAATATGAAAGTCGAAGTATCAAATCACCAAATAAGTACTTATGTGAAATTTAGTTGCTAGCTAACCGCTGAAAAGGTCTTCTGCTTTTTTAGATTTTAGGTTTGTGTAGGTTTTTCTTTTAAAAGATACAACAAATATATGTAGTGTTATTGGTAAATACTAACCGGGACTAGATAGTGTGACAACACCACTTGTGTTGTTATTGTAACAACATTAGTCTCCAACCAATAGGAAGCTAGGGTTGTGAGAACTTTTTATTAGCTGAGTTGACCTAGTGTAAAATCAAAGCAGGGGTATAATTGTCATTATGAAAATATGTTTGAATAATAATAAAAAAATAAAAATAGATAAAATAATATTTTCTGCCCAAAATTTGCTCGCCGGAATTCGGCCACCAGTCGCCGGAATCTGGTCGTCGGTCATCGGAATATGTTTTTTGTCATCGGAATATGCTATTTTATCGCCGGAATATGCCCACCGTCGCCGGAATCCAATAACCATGGTCGGAATATGCATATCGGCGTCGGAATCTAGTCATCGGGGCAGGAATATGCCTATCCCTGTCACTTGTTAGAATCTGCTCACTAACAGTCATCGGAGTTTGGTCAACGATTTTCGTTGACCGGTCAACGACCACCGGATATTATGGTATGCATTGTGAGATTTATGGTTTGGTTTCTCGTTTTTTTTGTACGCTATTTGTGGTTTACTTTATGGTGTTTCTGGTTTGAATTTAGAAGTTTCTCGTGTGCTTTAAAAAAATTTGTGGTTTGCTTTGAGGGGTTTCTGGTTTGTTTTAATAGATTTGTGGTATGCATCAGAAAGTTTCTGGTTTGTTTTACCGTGCTTGTGGTTTGCATTATGAGGTTTCTGGTGTGCTTTCGCAAATGTTGTGGTTTGCTTTGTGAGGTGTGTGGTTTGTTTTAGGGGATTTGTGGTATGCATTAGGAGGTTTCTGGTTTGCTTTTTTTAGGGGTGGGCATTGGGTGGGTCGGGTGGATTTTGACCATGAAATGCACACACCCGCGCTTAAACGGATTGATAATTTTTAACCCACCACCCACCCACATTTAGTCTCGGGTTGGGTCGGGCGGATGGTGGATGATGCGGGTGGGTTTGTGGGTTCACCCACATCACAATGTATATAATATAAAGGAGTCAACTTGACATGATAATAGGTGAAGAGAATCATCGAGGGTAACCAGAAGTTGAAATAGGGCGAAAAATGTCGAATTAGTTCTTAAATTGGATAGAAATTCTATTATGAAGAGTTTTCTACAGATTGAGACGATTATTAGGTGCAAGGAACTAAGGAAAATAATTCCACAAAGGAAAGGGCGGTGATCTAGGCACAATAATTAGAGGAAAAAGTAAAGGGAAGAAGAGGGGATCTCTATTTGGAAGGTTGGCTTTGAGGTTCAAACTCCAGGAGCAGTCCGAGTTTATATCTAACGTTTATTATCTGCATTATGAGGTTTCAGGTGTGCTTATGAAAGACTTGTGGTTTGCTTTACCGTGTTTGTTTGCATTAGGAGGTTGATGGTATGCTTTATGGGGTTTCTGGTATGTTTAAGGAGAGTTGTGGTCTGCATTAGCAGGTTTCTGGTATGCTTTTTAAGGTTTGATTTACTGTGTTTGTGGTAGGATATTTTTTATGTGGTTATGAATAACGAGTATCCAACAAAAGCAACAACTGAAACGAACTTTTCAAAATCAATAACGAGTATTCAAAACACGAACACGAATTCATACCCTCAACAAATGCATATGAGAAATATAATAAATCATTAAAAAAACTTCTTCTCCATCTCTTGCCACTACTACATCTACGTTAACTCATCACTGGACATTTTGATGAGTGCACGTTTTCTGACCGTCTGGGTCATTAAACTAATTTTGGTTATTATTATATTGTTTATTTGGATATTCTCTTGGTTATTTTATGTTATTATTATTTCTTGTTAAGGAAGTAATCGGTTAGGAGTTGGTTTAGGATTGGGTTTCCTTGTTTGAGAGGGAGAGAGTTATGAGACTTGTCCTATAAATATGTACTTTACCTCTACGTTTTATTCATCAGAAAATAATAAACCAGTTCTTTCAGTTTTTCTTAGTTCTCGTTTACGAAATCCCGATGCGTGATACGTTCACGCATCACATTTGGAAATTAACAAACACAAAAAAACCTTCCCTATTGCAGCAAACTATTGGGATCCTCTGAAGAAAATGGGAGGAGATATAAAGGCCATGTTTGATTCCCGGGAAAGCGATTGGCTACCAATTTTGTGTGTGCGGTGAAGATCGCTTCCCAATCAGTCGCTCATCTTGCATCTTCCTCGCTCTTACTCTCGAACTCCGCTCCAACCGCTCTTTTCAATTGGCGCCGATTCCACAACTTTATTAGCAGCAGACCACCAGATATGCTCCCTATTCCGCATGCACTCTCCCCCTCATCGACATTGCTCTCCTAGCACCGGTACTTTCTCATCTCGGCTAGATCGAAAGGCTTGTTTCTAAACCCCTTACCTCTCACCTGTTGCGATTCGATATTCAAGTTGTTGCAGTATAGAGCAATCTGGGATTGGAAGAAGAGAGAAATCGTTCAAGGATGAACGGAGACAACCGCAATCTTAGCCACTATCTGTCGTTGATGAAGAAGAACGACACAGAAAAACGAGGCAGCGGAGAGAGGAGATCTGGCAGAGAGCTCCAACGGGGATGATGTGAACGACACAGAGATGAGATCTGGTAGGTACCCAATTTTGCGGCGCCACCGCTGCAGTTGTTGTAAAGGAGAGAGCTCTCCGACGTAGGATGGACAGAGTCGGAGGTATTCCAGGCGGGACGAGGCGAAGAATGGGGGATGTTTTTCCATTGGAGACGAATCGGTCAGAGAAGAATCAGAGTGGCGAAAGAGCGGCGGAGTTGCAGGAGAGGGACAATTTGGGGACGGACGAAGACGCGTATGATAAATGCTTTAATTTTGTTCTATTATTTAATTGTCCTTGTTGTTACAGTAACAACAAAATGGGCGTTGTTATTCTATCCGGCCCCATACTAACCATCCGTTTAAAACTCGAAGTTCAAGGGTGACAATACAACACCCCTTATATATAGGGCTTATAATCGGTTCGATTTGGTTATAACTGGAACCATTTAGTCGGTTCTCGGTTAACTGTTAAGCATTTCGTGCTTACCGTTAACCGGATCATTTATATTAGTCGGTTAATCGTAATCGCATAGACGGTTCTCAGTTATTTTGTCGGTTAACCAGATAATCGTTAACCAAGTGATTTGGCAAGGTTCTACCAAATAATTTATCGGTAACATAACCAATGAAACACCGTCTCTTTTTTTCAATTGTGAATTTTGGTAGATTTTTTCCTAAATACGTATGTGTTATTTCTGTAAAGAATCCGACAAGAATAAGAGACCCAACAAAAATTACTCAACTAATAAAGACATAAACCAATCACATTACATGGAAGCTTAGATGTTAATGATTGTTGTCCAGCTATAAGCAAGCCTAAATTTCTAATATGCTCCTTCTAAAACCATTTCTTGAAATTATTCACATTTGAGCCTCTATTACAACTAGTGTAGGCAAAGGATGTTGTAGGCCTTCAAATATCCAATTATTTTTTGTTTATGCTTGCAGCTCATCGAGACCTATTATTTGCGGCCGTTACTATGAAGATGACCGTAATCGGTTAGTCGGATAACCGTTTAACCTTCGGTTACTAACCGTTTACTGTTTAATCGGTTATCGGTGGAACCGTTAACCACCAGTTCCGTTTCGGTTATCGGTTACACCGTTAATAAGATAACAGTTTATCAACCCTACTTATATTGTTAGGAGGGCGGATCTAGTGACTAAGAGGGGGTGTTTAGCTACTTGACTAAGCCCCACTCAGCCCTTAGATCTGTACACACAAATTTGGCAGTTAAAAAGTGGAAACGAATTTTTTATTAATGACAGGGGTAGTTTGGGTATTATGGAAAATAACGAAGTATACATATCATACAAACATACGTGCAATACAAACTAGAGCGACAAAACATACAAACAGATTTACAAACAATACAAAACATAGAACTATACAAACAATACAAACTAGACCGACAAACATTACAAAACATACTAACAGTACAAAATGCCACTACTTACAATACAAAATAGTAAAGTTGTATTACAAATCAATGAATACAAAGTATACAAATCACAACATAAAGTATACAAACTAGACAAACAAACATTACAAATTACAATATATACAAATTAGTCATATAAACATTACAAACATAATATAGAAAAATGACAAACTAGAATGATAAATGATACAACCCTAATTGATACAAAATCACAAAACATACTTACAAACATTACAAAATCGTTCGACAAACATAACAAAATAGACGTTGTCATCGAAAAATCTTCCATCGCCGAAAAATCCTCTCCGCCGCCGGAAAATTCACCGATAAAGAAATATCTCTCTCTCACACTCACACACACACCTGGGGTGGGGGGAAACCACTTGGGACTTGGAGCAAAAAAAAACAACGCACGTCTCACCGACGACGTGTCCGCTGGGAGAATTTCCCAGAAATGGAAAGGCGGCAGGTGGGTAGAGGACAGTTCCATTATTTTTTATTTTAATTGTTAATGAAATAAACTATGTAATTACCACATTACCCTTCATTTAACTAGATTAATTTGAACCGTCAGATTTTAATAAGGCTCAATGGTTGAGATTGACTTAATCATTTGACTAGGAGACCCTCCTTAGTCACATAATTTTAGCCCTATTGTTAGGGTGACAACACTAGTGTCCGACCAATAGAACGCTAAAATTGTGATGACTTTTTATTAGTTAGGTTGACCTAGTAAAATCAATGAAAGGGTATAATTATCATTATAAATATTATGTTTAAACAATCAATAAAAATTATAATGATGAAACAATTAAATAATTTTTTATTTATGTCCAAATTTTTGGTCGCCTGAATCTGGCCATTGGTCGCTGGAATATGCTAACCACCTTTGGAATATGCTAACGTTCGCTAGAATCCTCCCACCGTGACCGAAATATGCTCAACGTCGCCAGAATATTCTCACAGCCGCCGGACTCCGATCATTGTGGTCGGAATATGCTTACCGGCGCCAGAATCTAGTCATTGGGACCGAAATATCCTTATTATCACCGGAATCCGGTCACCGATGATCATCGGAATTCAATCAACGGTCTTCGACGATCGATCACTGGTCAACGATCACTGTATATTATGGTATGTATTGTGAGATTTATAGTTTGGTTTCTCATGTTTTTTGTATGCCTTTTGTGATATGCTTTATCGTGTTTGTGGTCTACATTAAAAACTTTCTGGTGTGTTTTCGAAATATTATTGGTTTGCTTTGTGGAGTTTCAAGTATGTTTTAATATATTTGTGGTCTGCATTAGGAGGTTTCTATTTCCTTTTTGTGGTATGCTGTATCGTGTTTTTGGTTTGCATTATGAGATTTCTGGTGTGCTTTTCGAAATATTTGTGGTTTGTTTTATGGGGCTTCTTGTTTGTTTTAGAAGACTTATGGTTTGCATTAGGATGTTTCTTGTATGCTTTTTGCGGTTTGGTTTACTGTATTGTGGTATACTTTATGAGATCCAAAAACACAATAATGCATACCACAAAAAGTTGTCAAGGTAATGAATAATATCAATGTCCTCCCTCTTTATTTATGCTCTGCAATCCATTTCTCCTCCAAGACGTATAAAATTAACACCATTATTGTCCTCCCTCTCCATTTCTGCTCTGCAATCCATTGATTCAATTTCTTGTCCTTCATCTTCTCCAATCGTCTCCGTTTTCCTTACACGCATACCCAAATCTAACATTGATACCTTTGCCACCACGACTTATACATTCATTGTGGGGTCGGACCCCATCTGGTCCACTCCGGCGCGATCAGGCAAGATGTATGAACTAGAATCCCATCGAAAAGACAAACCAAGAAACGAGCAGGAACTGTAACGAATGTCGCTGCGAAGCAATCAAGCTCGCAATTCCAACACTGTTAGCGTCACAGTGGACTTCAAACGGTTGTGTAAGATCAGGTAGTGCCAAGATAGGCACTTCACACAACTTTGTTTTGATCAATTTGAATGCATGTTGAGCCTCACTCCAAACGAACGAGCCCTTATTCAAACACTCCGTTATTGAACTTGTGATAGTGCAAAATTCATGGATAAACCTTCAATGAAATGAAGCCAAACCATGGAATGATCAAACGTCACTTACTGTTTTAGGCACCGACCAAGATTTAATAGCATGGATCTTGGTTTGATCAACCAATACCCCTTCTTTGGAGAAAATATAGCCAAGGAATACTACGCTCTCAACCAGGAATGCATACTTCTCCTTTTTCCCATAAAGCTTTTGGCTAGTCTCGAACACTTGTCGGAGGTGGTCAAGATGTTCCTCCAAATTCCTTCCATGTACCAAGATGTCATACAAATATACCACCATGAATCTGCCCCATAAAGGTTTATGTACTTCATTTATCAGTATCATAAAAGTGCTTCAGGCATTCGTAAGCCCAAATGGCATCACGATCCACTCATATAGCACATGTTTTGTTTTAAATGCCATTCTATTCATCACCTTCTCTCATCCGAATCTTATGGTATCCGCTTCATAAATCGATCATAAAAATCACAGCTCCATGGAGTTCATTCAACATATAATCCAGTCTCAGGATTTGAAATTAATACTTGATGGTTATGTTATTGAAAGATCTACTATCAATACACATCCTCCACGTTTCATCCTTATTTGGCAGTTGGCACGGGTAATGTTGGATCCGCACAAGGGATCAAACTCTTTCATACACAACCCCTTCTTATTAGTTCCTCAATTTGCCTTTGCAACTATTTCGTTTCCTCGGAATTACACCTATATATAGCCTTATTAGAAAGAGACACACCTAGTATAAGATCGATTTGGTGTTCGATCCCTTGAATACGAGGTAACCCCGCAGGCAGATCATCGGGAAAGATATCATCATAGTCACATAGTAGCTCCTCAATGGACTCCTTATGCCAGCCCACTTCATCTCGTGTCTCCTTAGCCACTAGTATGTTTACACATTCGCCATCATTGATAGCATGCTTAATTTTTCATTGACTAGCAAAAGCTATCAGATTAGGCTTCTTACATTGACTAGTGCTCATCGAACGAACAGCTTGAGGCGCCATGGGCTTCAGCACAATCTTCTTTCCCTGGTACCTCAACTTATATTTGTTACTCTAACACCCCGACATTTGAGTTCAAGTTCGACCCTAAAAATGAACGATTGGACCGACGATTATGTACGTAAAAATCTAAATCAAACCAAACCAGAGTTAAGGACCAAGGCCAAAAGACACTTTTATGGCCCAATGTGGGCCACGTTGGGAGTTAAAGAAAAGGAGAGGGATTAGCCAATTGTAATTAATGTGGGGAATTGAGATTTGATAGGGGTTCATTCGGGAACCGAATAGGCTAAGTGGCGGGGGTTATTTGGTTTTGGGCGGGATAATTGTGAATGTGGTAATAACAAGTTACTCTAACTAAGGTACTAATTTATTGCACTAATTAAAAGGTTCAATGTGGTCATAACAAGTTACTCTAACTAAGGTACTAATTTATTGCACAAGTAAATTAGTTCAAAGAAAGGTGAGTTATAAAACTCTTGAGATGAGTTATATAACTCTTAATGAATTCATTTGGAATGTCACCTACGTGAGCATTAAGAGTGGTGTCACTCTAACAAAAGTAGATGTCAACTTTTGTATGCTCATGAAACAGGGGAGGGCCGTTTGGAGTGCTTTCGGTCGGCGTCGTAGGGACTTTTGAATTGTAGGGTTTTGACGGGGAAGGTGATTTGGAGTGCACTACGGGTTTCCGACGACGAAGGTAGTTTGGAGCAGGTGGTGGGGCGACATCACTCTCGTCGGAAGAAGATGAAGAAGATTACGGAAAGGATCGGGAGTTGTTTTTTTTTTTTTTTTTTGTTTATTAAGGTTAATTTA